CAGCTCACTACAACCTCCATCTCCCAGGTTCAAGTGATTCCTGCCTCAGCCTCCCAAGTAGCTAGGATTATAGGCGTCCACCACCAAGCCCAGATAATTTTTTTTTTTTTTTTTTTTGCGGAGTCTCACTCTGTCCCCCAGGCTGGAGTGCAGTGGCACGATATTGGCTCACTACAACCTCTGCCTCCTGGGCTCAAGTGATTATCCTGCCTTAGCCTCCCGAGTAGCTGGGATTACAGGCGTTTGCTACGACACCCAGCTGATTTTTTTATTTTTAGTAGAGACAGGGTTTCACCATGTTGGTCAGGCCAGTCTCAAACTCCTGACCTTGTGATCCACCCACCTCAGCCTCCCAAAGTGCTGAGAATACAGGTGTGAGCCACTGCACCCAGCCAATTTTTATATTTTTAGTAGAAACGGAGTTTTGCCATGCTGGCCAGGCTGGTCTCAAACTCCTGACATAATGTGATCCACCCGCCTCGGCCTTCCAAAGTTCTGGGATTACAGGCATGAGCTACAGCACCCGGCCCAGCACAGTTTTAACAAACAACTTATCCCCTAGTGCGCAGGTCCCACCCAGGGTTTCTCATAGGCTGAGTACTATGGGGTCACAATCTTCCCCAGACGTCACCTATTGATTATTAGGCAGGGGTTTTAGATTTTTTTTTTTTTTAGCGTTGTCTTGCTGCATTTTATTGCAGCCCACAATGCATTGCAATCCTAGTTAGCTCAGGTGCTCTTCAAGTGCTTAACTTATGACCTAAGTAGCTGGGCAGGCTGATAAGAGCAGACAAAGTGAGCTATTTTGCAGACTAGTCAACTTTCATTTTAGGCTAAACTTTTTTAGTTTCGGTAAAGGCAACTAAGAGGGGAAAGAAATATGGGAGGAAGAGGGAGACTGGCAAGCAGGCATTGGCTATCCAAGCAGGGGCCTAGTATGTCCTGTTTCTTCTGTAGTGTGCTGACCTAAGCCGAGGTAAGGCATTTTGTCTTGGAAATGGACCACTGAATACATGATTTCCTTCAAGCATGACAAGATTAATTTTTTCCTTGCAAACTGCTGTTGGTTGTTTGCCACTGCAGGCTTCCTATTCAACACTGTCTCATCCTTTCTTAAAATGAACTCTCCAATTATAAAATACTGATTTCTTTGAGGCATTGTGCCCATAAACTTTTTGTAAAGAATTAATGATTTCACCATTCTTTCACCAAAGGTTCACCATAACTTTGATGTTTGTCCTTGCTTCAATTTTAGCAGAGTACATGTTGCTTTGATAGGGGCTCTTTTCAAACATATGTCTTACCCTTCTTAGTACCTCAAACTAGTTTCTGTTCATACATGTTATAACAAGTTAGTATGAGTTTATTTTGGTGTAAAACAATTTTGAAATCCATGCATGATTTATTCATAATACGCATTTTCCATTAACTTCTTGAAAAGTCTCCTCCTGAGGTTACTGGATTGAATCAAAAGTATTTAAAAAGTTTCTCTTGGAGTAAGTAACTTTTCCTCCACACAATAGGGTTAAAAATTAGGTTGCTTCCAACAGTGAAGTTGGTAAAGTCCATACTTACTAAATCAGCTGGTTGGTGAGAGCAATCCATAAAATTGCCAGTGAATGTATAACTAAGGAGTTTAGAAAACCCTCAAACTCCAATTAAGATGAGGATGTAATCTTAGGGGGCAAAACTAGAAGTGGGTGTAATTTGCTCATCACAAAAGGAATCAACCGTCTAGTGTATTGTTTAAAGAAATGTATGAGCCAGGCGCGGTGGCTCAAGCCTGTAATCCCAGCACTTTGGGAGGCCAAGGCGGGTGGATCACGAGGTCAAGAGATCGAGACCATCCTGGTCAACATGGTGAAACCCCGTCTCTACTAAAAATACAAAAAATTAGCTGGGCATGGTGGTGCGTGCCTGTAATCCCAGCTACTCAGGAGGCTGAGGCAGGAGAATTGCCTGAACCCAGGAGGCGGAGGTTGCGGTGAGCC